CACGGGCCAGCCTTCACTCCCCATGTACATCAGTGAGTCCCATGACCCTGTCTCCGGTTCACCACTTTTCCTTCCTTGGAGCACTTTTGATAGGTACTGACCACTGCAGACCGGGAACACCCCACAAAACCTGCAGTTTTGGAGAAGCTTTGACTCAGTCGTCTAGCCATCACAATTTAGCTCTTGTCAAAGTCGCTCAAATTCTCACGCTGCCCATTTCTCCTGCTTATAACACATCAACTTTGAGGACAAAATGTTGACTTGCTGCCTAATATATCCCACCCAACAGGTGCCATGATAATGAGATAGTCTTATTCACTTCATCAGTCAGTGCTCATAATGTTGTGGCTGATCGGTGTTTATATGTGCAGTATTACGAAATGTTTGTTGGTGGTGACATTCCTGTTGCAGCTTCACATTAAAAACACTTAACTTGCAAAGGACAAGTTGACTTTATTTATGAAGCAGTCACAGGTAATGTGCTAGTCAGTGAGCTCAGTGATCGCTATCGTTCATCAAAAATATGTCTACAAAAGAAACCAACGGCCATTTTTTGACAGCGAATCAGTTGAAATATTGCAGGGATTAATGAATTAAAAAAGGAGCAGCCACAGGGAGGTGGTTGATGAAGAGCTGCAGGCGACAGGCTGCACACCTCGAACCTCTCAGCGAAGTAACCAACTCCTTTCACTGTGCCCTGCTGTTCACAGGTTCATGCTGTAAAGAATTACACAGCTCATAGTTGCTCATAGAATAATGGAAAAGGCCAATTACTGCCTGACTTCTTTACTAAAAAGACAGTAGTCTGTTTGGCTGCCATAAATGAAAAAAACAATTGCTCTTATGTTGTAGTTATTTCTGACAAAGTAGCTGTTCCAGGAGTGTTTTGACCCATAGTATTAAACTGCACTTACTGTTACCACCAGTAATGTAGTAGTTTCATTAGTGTATAATCACTTGAAAATTGTTGTGTTTCTGTTACCTTAGAATGAGCCATTTTTATCGTACATTTCAGAGGAAATATTGTTCTTTTTACTTGATTACATTTACTTGATAAGTTTATTAATGAGTTCACAAATGTAAAGCTAGAACCATGAAATTATTTTAATTTATTCTAAGGGGTTTCAACTATGGCTGGACAAAACAAGTATTGTAAAGGTGTCACATTGATAGCAACATGCTGCGTGAGTTGAGTTATCAGGTACTCAGCAAGTAAATTAAATAAATATCAATATGCTACAATTTAAGTTTTTTACAATTTTTTTTGTTACACCAAAAACGCAGAAAGTTAAATATTAATATATCAATATTACTCAGTTATAAACTAACTAACTAACTAAAAAACTAAATAATATTATTTAGAACTAGCCAATAGGTCAGGTCTTCCTGTGTCTGGTACAGAATGTTCTTGTGCCGTAATCACGATCTTTCAAGGGCATGAATCCCAACTGAATGTCAATGTCTGACTATTCCAGCTCTGCAAGACAATTTTTACAACTTTAAAGTGTCATATTATGAAATGCCTGAGAGCTTCCTAGCCGTTAAATAAAGGCCAGATGTCTATAGTAAGCTCAGTAAATCCCTCTCATTCAAATGCTTTTAGTATTGTGTAAGTCAAAACAAAGGTGTTAACTTGTTTACGAACAAACTTGTTCAACAAAGAATGAGTTTAGCGATGAGAAACAACAGTTAAACACTTGCTTAAATGTCATCATACATTGATTTCTTACAATCACCACTATCATTTATAATTCTAGCATTTAGAAACCTCAGTGATGCATCTCATGTGATAAAGAGCAGGTAAACAAGTGAACAAAACAAACCCAAGAATGACGTGGAATTAGCTTGTAAGCCGATACCTTTTTAGTACGTCTCTCTCTATTAATGGTTTAAAGCCCTATTCAGATGAAATACATTTTTTGGACAATGAACCCATCATAGTTATCACAGGACTTTTGTAATGTTAATGAGCAATTTGCACGCAATAGTCAGCATCTAAAGTTACAGTGATAGGAGTGTCAGTTCTATTTTCATGTTGTCACACCTAAAAATTCCATGTTATTTATTGAATCTAATAAATAGTTATGGCGATAACAATAACGTAATAGTAGACTAAGCTTCAATCATGCTGGTCTGACAAACAAATAAAAACAAAGCTGACTCAAGCGCAGTTGACGTATGTTCTTTTAACTTAACTGCTTTAATGGTTCTTCTATGCACATTAAATGTTCATAAAGGGCAGAAGTAACAAATTTAAGATTTGAATATTAAAGATTAGAAGTGAAGACTTTGATTATTAAACAAAAAGGGGGAAAATTAGAGAACGCTCCCTTTAAATATGACCACAAATCTGAACGCACACAGGCAGCTATAAATATTATGTAATATGTTTATTGGCTATTTAATTAGTGAGGAAATTGAAACTGGCAGATTCTGCTGGGAATAAAATGACGTGTATGTCTGACAATAACTACCACACCTCGTCCAGAATATAGCTTGAGGCCACTACCTCCGTACAAGTTGTAATTCTTGTATTAGATGGCATAAATGTGCAGTAATGGTTGTTCTGCCTTTTTCAACCATTTTATATCTACTCTTAAAAGAGAAAGATTGATAAGCTTGATAAAAAGTAATTGATTGTTTGAACGGATTCATGAAAAAACACCATAGTCGTGTGAAATAAAGATGACAGGATCACCCAATCAACAAATGAGTCATGAAACTTCTGTTTTATTCATTTGAATTTATTTAGATTTACATTATAATTAGGTTAAAGGTATTAAATGTATAATACAAATAATATTACTGCACAGAAAAAACATAAAAAATAGCATAAGGAACCATAAAAACAGAGCACATTCTCCTTCAATCAAGCTGTGTTCCTGTGAATTAATTATTGATAAAATTATGATTGTTGTTAATGTCACACTTTTTACAAATATATTTAAATATATACACAGTGTAAAACTTTAATAAGATACAATATATGAAAGAGCAGTGGCATGTGAGTCAGCTTCAATGTGGTGTTGGAGTGTCTGTGTAATGATTTGAACTGATCTTTACGTTGAGCTCGAGATGATTTTCTTCAGCTTCATCACCTCTTCAGTGGTGAGCTGCAACAGAGAAGTGGAGCTGGGATCCATCATTAGCACAGCTGAGGGACCCATCTGTGACTTCCCTGCCTGAACTAGGTCTTCATTATAGGACTTATACGATGCAAACTTTTGCTGAACTGTGAGGGGATTATAGTCCATTTTCACTTGGATGAGGGGACCCTGGGTCTCTTGGTCATATGCATCCCTGCAGTTTGGGGGTTTGGAGATGTATGACTTATTAATATCCTGCTGATCAAAAGGATAGACATCCTGGCTGGCTGCATTTTTCAGAATGCCACTGGAAGGTAAAGAACTGTATCTGGTAAAAGGATTTTGGCTTGTATTGTGGTGATTACCAGTTGTCTGGATGGCTGGTGTCGGGCTCTGCCTCAGCCGTAGATCCTCGGGGACTGAGCTCTGGCTTTTGGGATTAATGCGACATCTGAGGTCAGTTGGGAGGACATCTGTATTGTGACAATACTTCTGTCCAGACTGTTCTTCCAGAGTAGGAAGAGTAGGAAGTTGCTTATCTCCATGCATCATGGATGAAGATCTGCACAGCCGGAGCCAGTTATGGAACACAGACAGAGGTATTTCAATTTCCACATCGCCTCCATTCTCTCGAGGGAGGCTGGGCAGAATATGACTGAGATTAGGCTCCTTTACTTCTGGACTCCCCTTTCTTCCTTCTTTTGGTTGAATTGTGAAGTCTGTTTTTGGAGAGCTAGGGTTTTGGACTGTTGTGGTGGGGCCTTCGTCTGTTCTAAGTGTGGGGCCATGTGTGGGGCTGCTTGAGGCTGTCGTAGCTTTGACATCAACGGCGTATGTCTCCCTAGCTTTCACATGATATGAATGTGCTGTGTCTCCTGAACCTGCCTCACCATCTTGTATCTCACACCTTTGTTGGCACTGAGGAGTGTACAAAGGGGAGGGTTTATTCAAAAACTTTGGGCTCTTGTTGGATGAAGGTGGGGCAAACGATGAGGCAGGGTTGCTGTTGGTTTCCCGATTTGATGCTTTAACGCTGAGGTTTAGAGGCTCCGTCAATCCAGATGAGGTCTTGTACCGTTCTGCCAGGGAGCGCAAGCGTTCCAGTGGCTCCTTAACCCTCTCTGTTCCGTTTATATTATAAGGCTCAAAAGAAAACCGGGGCTGAGAGGCAAGGGGTGTCAACACTGAGGACGAGATAGGGACATAGGGGGGCATAACTGTGTGCCTTGGTTGATAGACATGAGTGTAGGGGAACGACAGATGAAAGGTTCTCACATGATGGTCTGACTGGGGGATATGTGGGTTCTGTTGGAATAGAAAGTGGTCCATCAGATGTTAAAGGATGTTAGATGTTATTTGCTACTTTGCCAAGAATTAGATGAAAAGTTTGACACCAGTCTCATGTCTGTATGCTGAATATGAAGCTACAACCGCTTAGCTTAGCATAAAAACTGGCAATGGGAAAACAGCTAGCCTTCCAGCACCCCTAAAGCTCACTTATAAAAATTTAAAAAATAAAATAACAAACTTTAGAGGTAGCTTGCTGTTTCACCATGTTTCCAGTCTTAATGCTAAGCTAGACAACAAGTCGCTGGCTTCAGCTACGTATTAACCTGTGAGTGGTATCAATCTTTTCATCTATCTCTCAAAAAAGCAAAAAAGCATATTTTGCTTTAATGTATTGTTCAGTGCAGTATAAATTGAAGAAGTTTAACCAACTTGGAACATTATTGGGATCTTATTTTAAATAATATTAATGTATAATACCATATATTAAAATAGAACATATATATATAAAATCCAAACAGCCGGATGTACTTGTTTACTAATTATTATAATGAATAACTGTTTCTGCAAAACAGTTGAGAAAAAACTGTTTTTTTTTATATTGTTTGAGTATAAAATGATACCAACCTGGCGCAGAGGTATTGATAACAGTTTGCGTTTAGCCGGTCTCTGGCCATCATCATCATCATTGCTGAAGCTGGTAAATGGGAAGTGCTTCGGCTGATGATGAGGCAAGATATTCATTGATATGCCTTTTACGTGGCATTCGTATGGCAGGAGTAGCCTGAACAAAAAACATATTCATCAGATTAGAGCGATTTAAAAACATAGCACCCACTTGCTGCCTGACAAATGAACTCGCATTGTTTAACTCACTTCTCATAGTGTTTGCGGGTGCAGGTGGCTGCACTTGTGCTTCGAGGGTTTCCTCCGAGCATGTTGTACACTTGCTTCCACAGCTGCTGAGCTGTCACCTGGAAGACAGCAAGATATTTTATTTATTTGAGCCAATGCCACATTCCATTTATAGTTGCAGATCATTTGCATCATCAATATAAGAAGTGTTTAAAGTCAGCCTACAGCCTGTCACTACAACTAATGATAATAATAGAAATATTAAATTAGAAATATTTGGTTACCTGGTGGTAGCCACCCAGTTCTCTGACCGTCTTGAACATCACATATAAATTAACTGAAAAATAGAGAAAATACACATAATCAAATACACTTCATCATATAATGTAGGGCTATAAGAATTGGCATTATCAATTCGTGCAGATAATTTTCTCAGTTAACTTATTGTTTGTTCTATAAAATGTCAGTGACATCTTCAAATTGTTTGTTTAGCCCGACCAAAAGTCTTATTTATGTCCATATAGCAAGTTATATCCATAACTGTACCATATAAAATGGAGGTCTGTTTTGGTGCATAAAACAAGCTAAATGCATCATAAAACAGCTTGTTCACACCAAATGTGATAAAATGAATGATATTTTATGTTATAATATATAGATAGATATTTAATGATATAAGTACTTTGTTTAAAGCCCAGATTTGGGATTCTCTCGATGGGCGTATCTCTTTTCTTCATGAAAATGTAGAGATCTTTAAGGAATAGTTTCTCCATTTCTCTGTTCTCCTCGACCGACTCTTTGGTTCTCTCCTCTTGGGTCTCGCCATTTGCCATAGTCGCGTGTGCCTAAGAACACAATTAACAGATAAGATGATGTTTCAGCTGATTATCGTGACTCATATTTAATGTTTAGGTGTTTTTTAAAATGACACTGTTCTGTTTTTGAGCTTCTGTTAGAGGTGAAATGTGATGTACAGCGCTACTTAACCAAACACACATCTGAACCTGAGATATCCTGGGGACAATGCCTCACTGTTTCAAGGTCACATCATCTTGACGGATGATTGTCAAACACTTTTGACCATATATCACATGTTTGCACTTGCCTTGGTGGAGTCAACCCTGTCCGCTGAGACAACATACCACTGATATGACATAAATGGCATCAATGCACTCCTTCATTCTCTATAGTTTCCATTGTTTTCTAATACTGTAATGAACTAAACTAAAATGTTACTATATGTTTCTCAGACAATATCTGTTACTTTCATTTAATTATCACAATATCATTTACTATTATTAATTTGCTATTACCATGTTACTGTCATCATATTCATGCTTTTTAAACACAACAATATAGCATTAATATCATAATGCTTGTCAAAATAAAGCACTTCACTCCCCTGATTTTATTTCTGCATACTTACAGTAAGAGAGCTACTGCAAGTGTAATTCTAGTACATGACAAATATCAATTAAATAAAATCATAGATTATACAATTATTATGAATAAAAAACAATCAACTCCATTGTTCCTCACCTGTGTTTCCATTGAGAGAATAAGTATGGATTATATTATCTCATTGCCTTGCTGATCAGAGAACAAGCAGTGTACAGGTTAGCTTCCCTTCCAGTGCGGTAAAAGAGACCTGAAATCACTGCAGCCAGTTAATAATGTCGCGTCACGTCAGTCACACACCTGTCGTTAGTATCTGTGTGACAATGTGGGCAACTGACAGAGGGGGTGTTTACTCCAACGTCTTCCTGCTGAGATTTCCATTGTCAGACCGGTTGAACCTGTTCCTGAGTATGCAGCTAAAAACGGTTTAGTGGAATACTCCCCTATAAATTTGCAGAATAATGAAAGAAAACTGAAAATTTGTATCCATCCTATCCAAGTAACAGAGAGCATTGTTTAAACAAGTCAAATTTTAATACTTTTGAGTATGCGTTGAGTATACGTTTACAATCACTAGTGTCAGATGAGAGCCCAGAAAATACATCAGTTGCTATTCATTTCAACATTGGGACATTATGTCTAACAAACACTGAAAAAACAGCAGATAAAAGTCCTTAGCACTGTGCATTATAATATTGCATTATCATTGTTATATTAACAGTCTCTATGTGTCTTGTCAATCTCTCATACTTTTCGAAGGAGAGGTGTGGCCAATTTATTGGAAAGCTGCAGCTATGTAGTGCATGTGTTCAATTTTGATGGTTGTCTAAATGAGTGTGTGGAACACATTACATACAAAGCTGAACAACAGAATAGATTTCTATCACAGCTATGACTGAATAATGATTTGAACCGGAAAAAAAGTTTTGTCCTGGTTTTAATTAACTGAAATGTATTTTATTAGTCAGACACATCCTTCATTTGTTCTTATCCCAAATTATCAAATTATTTACTTACAATTAACTTCAAATTAAATTACCTAATCTGGCAACACTGTTTGTAGTAAATGTTTGGGTTAAATGAAACTAGAAATTACTGCCGTATGGTTGTATACCTCTGCCAACCATTAAAGTAGCAGTTTGCATCCATGTCTGTCCAGACTCATATAGTTTAATAAAAAGGTATTAAGTGTAATCTTTAGCTAAGTGGGAGTTATCTCTATATTGACATGTATGAATTCAGTAAATAATCACCAGTGAGAAACACGCTGTCTTCATTTAAAAGCTTTTCACACAGGAGAGTAGAGAAGGCTGATTGTGGTGGACTACTGTTTACCATAATGCTGGACTCTTCTGTCTGATAGAAGGATTCCTCCTCTGTTGCTCTTCCTGAGGTTTCTTCCTTTTTGCCCATTAATGGGGGTTGTTTTTCATTCGAGTTAAGGGAATGAGGATAGAAGATGTTGTTTGCTGTACAGACTGTGAAGCCGTCAAGGGAAATGTTTTGATTTATGATATAGGGATATAAAAATATATATATTTTTTTTTATTCCTTGTATCTGTTCACATGCATGGCCAATAAAGCAGATTATGATAGAACACAAAGTTATAGCCACAACATCGGACAATGCTTTAAATATAGATGTTGCTGCAAAGAAGCTACAAATTCTAAAAGGTGAACGCTTCACACATCTTCAACCTGACAGCACAGAAGAGCTATACAATCACCACAGTTTCAAGGTGAGCACGCAAGATCTCAAACTCAGTATCTGACAAAATGTGAAATATAGTCACAGTCTACCCTTCTGTTCCCTTATTTTTTTGACTAATGGTCAGAAGTTTTCATTTTATCCTGTTAGACATTTATGTGAAATGTTGTCATAATAAACATATGGATTCTTGTTATTTCCAAAAGTGTATTGTGAGATCACAGTGACCTTGACCTTTGACCACCAAAATCGGATCAGTTTATCTTTCCCAGTCCCAGTGGGCACTTTCTCAAGGCATTCCTGAGATATTGTGTTCACAAGAATGGGAAGGACGGACATCCTAAAAATGTTGAGTGCATTTTAAAAATCAGCAAGGAAAATGACCATTACAACAGGAACTATAATAATGCTTTCTGTTTTTGGAATTATTCTAGGATACAGCAGTGTGTTTTCATTGGAATATGACATCTGTCTGCGCTGAAGCCTATTTTCATTGTGTTATGGTTATGGGCGTACTCTGGGTGTGGCACTACACTTATCAAAACACAGTACCGTACGCAACTGTGTGTTCATTGTAAAACTTGCAACAGTATGAAAGTAGAACCTGTCATGTATATTGGAAGACAGATGAATTGGGGAAAGTTATGTTAATCCTGCTCAGCTCTGGGTGATTAATATTGTATATCTTGCAGGGATGAGATATCTCAGTTTGTCCTCTTATGATTGTGCTAATCAGAAACAATAAACACGCTGAAACAGCATATACATTTCTATATTTGGACTAATATTTAGTGGAAGTTAGGGTGAATACAATGCATGTAGCTCAAAGGCTACTGGTTTATGAACTTGCTTGGAAGAAACAGTTCCCTATGTTACCGGTGTTGAGGTAAACAAGTCAGACAGCTATAGAAAAAAGAATCCAATCCAGACAATAATGTCTATACAGTATGTAGAGAAAAGAACTGATGCAAATCTATTGACAATGATTCCAACATGTACAGGGCCCTTCCCAGTGACGCAATACAAAAAATTTAATGCAACTTATGGGGCCCCTCCCTGTATATTAAAACTGCATACGTTTTGTTCATATTAACACTGACTCAAACAGATTCCTGTAGCATGACTCTTTGCCATTACTGCGAATCCCACACATCAATCTGCAACTATTTTCAGATTTTAGCCCAATCGGCAGTACGTAGGCCCAGAATTTACATTTGACATTCAAACTCCTGTCTGATTTCCTTTATTCGGCTGCTGTTTCTCCCATGCTTAAGTCCAATAGTGGCCTCAACTACCATAACAATCCTCTACACACTGGATTCTACAGGCTGAGCTGATGTCGATCAGGTCAAGAAAAAATTCATCAGGTCACCATCAAACCACCTTGTCAAGAGTAACCACACACTAATTTAAATGAGAAAGTCGAGGGAGGGGTCGAAAGAGAGGAAGAGAGAGGAGGACCAACTGTGGTCAGTAGTTCTCCGGTGTAACTCACTCATGGCAGTGCTGTAAGCAATTTTAGCTGTTAGCTGCCTGACAGCCAGAGGAAAGATCCCGGCCCCCAGGAACCAGGAACTGGTAAATAAACTTCATTTAGACCTGGTACGAGCTAAAATATGTGGTCAATATTTTGGTCTGCTGAGATTTGAACGGTGCAGTTTCACAGTTATTCTGCATATCATTTGTTAGTTTTCCAAAGTTGCTCTTTGCTCTGTCTACCAGTCAACTACAATTGTCTACACACACACTTTGAATCATCAGTAGTGTTTATGTTTGTTAAATGCCACGTCTGCACAAAGCTTAGTTTATTCCTGTATTTACTACAAATAGCCCCGCTAATAAATAGATTGCTGTCTTTCATTGTTCTTCACCAGCTACCATTACACAGACAGTGATAGCTACCACACCCAGCAGACTATCTCATACACCGTGTCAATGATGAAAGCCAAATCTGTCACTGGCAAATTATAGTATGAGCATTTGATTTGTTTGTTTCAGATGTTTTTTTTAGCAGACACCCACAGCAAAAATGTGCGTGCCCAGTTTGCTCTTTGGATATTTTTAAGTAGGGAATTTTTGCTAACATACTAGCCATATAAACTTGGTTCAGGCACACTTTTATGCGTTTATTTTTGAGGTTTTCTTCCTACAATAATTTAGTGTGGCTTTAAGAATAGATGAACAACAGATTCAACCAAGTAATATGTAATTAATGAAGTACATTTAATTTGATTAACTTAAAGCAAGACTATGTAATGTTAGAAAGTGGACTCTTTGTCTTCCTTTCACAAAAGAAAAATTGATTTCAGTAGTAATAAAACCCTTTCTCAGTGGAATACACCTAATGTAACAAACTTAGTTGTGTAACTGACATTACTGACTCAGTTCCCTGATTTTATGACTATTCTCTAGTCGTGTTTTAGCTCATTCAGATCATTGTCTTTGAAACAACTGGAATTAGCTTAAAATACAAATGAATTAGCATTAAATTACCATTTTCCACCTCAGCCTTTCATCACCATAACACCACTACAGTTTGTACAAAAACTCGCCGTTACAAGACCAAAGCTATAAAACTCACCAAAGCCTGCATACTTTCATAAAATAAATATTTAGCTCAAACAAGCTTCACATGTGGGAGAAATCAATAGTATTGTTAGAATATTTTTTTATCTGCCTGTTTCTAAAGTGATCACACAGTAGGTTGTTTATCATATCTGCCACGTGGCACATATGTGTTGCTGGTTGACCTCAAAGGGTCTGAAGTAAAAAATAATGAAATTCATGTGTTGTTTCTCTCTGATTAAAACATCTCAGGCCATCCATCCAACACAACCCAGGCCACCAGCTACCACCAGTCTGAGTCTCGCAAGTGACAGCCTAGAAAACAAGACAGTTTCTGCGCTGAAAGAATGCAAGAGGGATGAACAATTACTGTCTGATGTCATGCTTCTGGATTACAATACACACCTTTACTGGGAACAAGGCAGAACGGGGGAAAAAATTGCAGACATTTCCTTAATAACACAGCTTGTGAAAAAACCTCTTTTACAAGTTCAACCAAGGAAGCCTGCTGAGTGACAAGCTTTTATTCATGTTAGGTTGACTGATATTTCCTCCAAGTTACAATAAAATCGAAAGAGATTTGTTTATATCAGTGTAAATGATACTTATTTATATGTTTCATGTGCAATCTTCAAGTGTTCCTTTAATATTCTGAATTGTTGGTGGAAAAACTAAATCCTTTAAAATGTGAAAGTTGTTTCTACAAATACCTCACACATGTTCTTCAGTGAGTCAATAATCCCATTACAGATCATTGCTCCAGTGAGACAATTCGTATTGGTATTTACACAGATTTAGAGCCTTCAGGTTTACTGACAGGACAAGAATTTCTTGTAGTAATAGTACACCTAATATCAGACAAAACATGAGAATTTAAGAAGATTTAAGAATATTATTTTTTTGTTTTACTGCAAAGAAACAACCTAATCACTGACCCAACACTAAAAAGTGACTTCACAAAATAGACATCACAATTACAGAGAAAGAGAGAGCGAAAGAAAGAAAAAAAGA